AATGTCTGATACATAGTCAGAAATATTGTTTTATAAATAATTTACTCTTGTTACGCTGATTTATACCCAGAATCCAGTGCCTGTCTCAACATCCTGGCTGCAGGTTCAATTCCCAGCAGGGCCTACTACTGAATGGCAAAACCTTAATTATGGGAAATTACACCAAATTAACTTTTCTATTATGTCTGAAATAGAACTATAATGCTTATTTTATTGTTTGACATGGCATGGAGTTCAGTCAGTTATTTCTACATGATGGTACGAATAACTGCCATCAAGGGGTAAAAATATCTGTGTAATGAAGATATTTGTTTGCCATTTATAGATTAGCTGAATAGTGAATGCACTGCCTGGGGTAAAACGCAAATGGAAGAAAGGAGCCTCTGTACAAACAAAATTGTTAGCTCAACCCTAAGAGCAATGATGAAATGTTTTAAATTCCATAAACCTGATGCAAGACAGAGGAGACCCCCTCCCCCTCTATATATAATTGTTCTAGCACCCTGTAACTTATACATGAATGCCAACAGTTTTGGAATAAATATAAAAACATGCTTTAAAGCACGGGCTGCTAGCTATTACTGAACTGAAATACCCACAATGCTTTGCTATTTGGGTGTCTGCCTTTGGCCCCCTGTTTCAGAGCATTGGTCATAGAAAACCAAGGGGTGGGGGGGACTCATTATTTTGCAGTCAGACAGAAATTGTTCTCTTCTCTGCTATTATCGCATTGTGTCATGAGTGGTTAAAATTACAAAAAGAACAATCGTTCAAACACTTTGCTTTATTTTCCTACTCAAAATAATTTCTGTCCTCGTTCCCTTTTATTTTCGAAGTGCTACATAGTGAATGTTACTGTCAAACCCCATTTCCTATGTTTTGCTTCCAAGGTGATTATATCAAAGCGTATTCATTAAAGTGTGAATTGTCAGGAATTAATGATTAATTCAAAATGAAGTGAAAAGTGACTTGGAAAATGTTTTACAATTATGCTATTTTGGCCTAAAAGTTGAAAACCAGTTACAACCCCATACTGTAGTTAAAGGGACACTCCGTTGCCCAAATATAAAATAAATAAAGAGCCATGTTTAGTAGATATACCCAAAATTAAAACTTTGTGCATGTAATTATGCAGTTTTTTTTTCATGGGGTTATATCTAAAAACAGCTTGCAAAATCTGCAGTTCTCTTGTCTAAAGCCTTTGCAAGCCCTCCCCTTCTAACCCTGCCAAGACTTTATATGGCTGTCCAATCACAGACTTCCCAATGCAGCTCAATAAGAAGTATTTGCAAGGCAGGTGATTGTTGCCTTTTGAGTTTAGCTCCACTGAGCTAATTTAACCAGAAAGTAACAGGACCTGTTTTCTGCTTGACAGTCAGGTGGTGTAACAAGATTAATGTATAAAAGTGTCAAGTTCTATTGAAATCTGCACTTTTTGCAAAATAAAAAATAGGACACATTCTTCACACATAAAGCTTTAAAGCTAGAATACTTTAGGGGTCTGCAGTGTTCCCCAACCCAGTCCTCGGACCACCAACAGTGCAGGATTTATGTATTACCCTGTTTTACTCCAATGGAGATACTGACAAAACCTGGACTGTTGGTGGGTCTTGAGGACTGGGTTGGGGAACACTGTCTTAGAGCCCTCTTTCAGATTGTCGTCTTATACATATAGAGGTCAGTTGGTTAAATATATTTGAAGTATTTGTGCAATGTGGTACAAAAATGGGCGCATTGGGGAATCCACTCATGAAAGGAGGTTCCAGCAGGTCACCAGCTGCAAGTTTAAATTAGTGCTTGAGAGCAGATTATATTTAAAAAATAACTCATCAATCTTGCAAGATCTTACATAACCCGATCACAGTGCATACGTGCACCCTCCAGTATGTGTGTCCCGGCAAGCTGTCTGACAATATATGGTGCTTTACGAGGGCATTAGGTGAGTTTCTCATTGTCTCCGTTAATAAAATGACAAATGTTTATTTCCTCCACCTATCAATTAAGAAGAAGAGAGGAAAAAAGCAGTTGATTAATGCTTTAAAAACACAACACATGGAATGCACTATTTTTATATCTGTGACCTATTTCTTTGTAGCCAAGCTGTCTTTTTGCTAACTATCATATTAATTGTTTAACCAATAAAAACGCTAAACTAACCTAAACTGAGATGTGTGGTGGACTTTGGTAAAAGATTTTGACCTATTTATTGATTTATAAAATGCAGGTGATACAGAGGTGTATTGATTTATTCGTAGTTTTATTGATCTCTTGGATTTTCTTGTGTGAAACACAGAGCTTTTGATGTTGAACGGTTCTGATCCGGTGGCAGAGGTGGCAATCAGACAGCTGCGGGAGTCCTCTAAACAGCCCCTGAAATCCCCAAGGAAGAAAAGCACCATCATTATATCAGGAATTTCAAAGGTAGGTCGACTACTATCTAATCTCTCTACGCTCTGTGAGGACTAGTAAATATCATCCTGGTTTTTAATCTGTATCTCACCTGGAGCACAATAGGGTGGTCCCTTTATAAATGGGCTTCTCGCACCCCTTGACATCCAGTCTGTCCCTGTGGATGTGTGAGGTTATATTTCATAAACTAGTGCAGTATATACAGATATTTAGCCAGGAAAGGTGAATTTCGATTTTCACTGATTTACAAGTATTTCCTGGAGTCTAGTTGTTTTCTGTCTATAACACAACTTAATATAATCCATTTTACCCACTTAAGAACAATAAAAAGGCTTTCGTGCTCCAAACCAAAGCTGTGACTGAGATACTGTATCTGGAGTCTGGAGCATTTTCCTATAAGCCAAAGACTAAAAAATAAATATAACTAAGCTACTGCACAAAATCAGAAATAAAGGGAAATTCCTCATTCATATATTTTTTAATTTAAATATATATATCATTATTTTTTAATTTTTTTTACAGAGTGCTCTTTCTCAGGACGATGAGGCCACTCTAATGTTTGATTATGCAGCCGCCATGGACAGCACGATTGGAACCGATGTCCATTCCGTCTCTATAACTGAAACTATGGAAATACCGGGTGATCCGCACCGTTCTAAGGAGGCTGTGCCGGGACTGTCTGACACTAGCCCAGAAGATGAGCTGCATGATGCCTGGGAGAATGGCAGCCAGCACGACGAATGGACCAGCAATGGGCTGGTGGAACCAGACTGTGAAGAAATGTCCATTAGCAATCTGAGTATCTCTGAAACAGGGAGCGTCAAGAAATCGAAAGGTCAGGAATTGTTTCTAACTATTATAAGCCACATAGTAAATATATAGGATGGGGGTATATTATCAGCTTTCATTAGTGAATAAAGCCATGGTAGCTAATGACATATAGACACTCACCTAACCCCATAATATGTTTATGTTCATAGGCATTCAGAGCGCAGTCCCTATTCCCATTAAGGAACAATATGGCGTTCGGAATATAAATCTGTTTTCCTAATGCTACATTGTCCCATAGTCTTGTTTACAGGTCCACCCTGTGCGCATTAAAATAAACAAATAATAAAAACCATTTAGTAGAAATGGATATGGGAACCTTTGTCCAGCTGCATTTGTAGGAACTGGTTAAGAAACTTGAATCGTTTTGATAATGGCGTGAAAATCCTGGCATAGCGGGTCACGTGTGATCTGCTGATAGTAGCTAAGGGAGACAGGTAGTGCCAGGTCCAAACACATATATTAATGTGTCTATATTCCCACAGGTCGTAGCAATGAGGATTTTAAGGTGTTGATGGTGTTTTACATGTATTTGCTCCATACGTTATGCTTTAGTAATCGGTTCTCAAATTATTAAAGGATTTTTCAAATCCTTAAATTGCTACAAATAAATCAGCGATATCCATATTCACAAAGGGGAGCAAGGAAAACGGCGGACAGCAAAGAAAAAGATGGCAGACTATTCTATCCATAAATTCTATATGCGAGGTGATTTCCACTATTAAGCTTTACAGTTTTTCATAGGCAGAAAGGGTCAGAGCCGAGGGCATGGGTTGGCGACCATCCGAGTGGCCACCAAAGAAATGAAACTCCACATACAAACAGTTGTAACACTAAAGCTGTATAAATCATTGGAAAGTTTAAGTATAACAATATGCAATATTATCCCTACCCCTTTATTATTCTGTTTCCCTCAAAATGTTTCTTTCTACAAAATATGAAAATAAAAATTGTCAATTATAAAAAAAAAAAAACCTTAATACAAACGAATATAGGATGAGACTTAACCCCTTAAAGACATATGACATGTCTGACATATCATGATTCCCTTTTATTACAGAAGTTTGGTCCTTAAGGGGTTAAAGGCATTTTACATGTATTTATTTCTAGTGCAGTGTATGTCTTACACGTTGGCCTGTTTATTTTTTTTAATTTTTTTTCCGTTTGAATCAGTGTTATTGACCTCTTTTACGAAGACCCTTCCTTGCTTATTATCATTCTTTCATTTAGTTACGTTGTTGTATAGAGGAAAGACATTAATTATTGAAGTAACAAGGAATTGTCTGGGTATACATGCCGCACACAGCCAGCATCATAGGAGATCTCTTACGATGAGTTGATTGAAGACCCCATGAGTAGCATGGTTATGAGTTCCTCTTGATATTAGTGACAGTCTAAACAGACACTAAGACACCAAACTGGAGCATTCAATGGGAACTTGTAGCTAGATAATATTTCCGTATAGTTCTACCTGTAAATATGAACTAACAAAGGCCCCCTATTTAACAGTTTTGAATAAACCTTTAAAATTATATTTTTAAAAATATTTTAATTTTGTGATTATTTATATATATATATATATATATATTATATGTATATATACAGTTGCAAGAAAAAGTATGTGAACCCTTTTGGAATGATATGGATTTCTTCACAAATTGGTCATAAAATGTGAATTGATCATCATCTAAATCACAACAATAGACCATCACAGTCTGCTTAAACTAAAAACACGCAAAGAATGAAATGTTGCCATGTTTTTATTGAACACACCATGTAAACATTCACAGTGCAGGTGGAAAAAGTATTCCACCTGCACTGTGAATGTTTACATGGTGTGTTCAATAAAAACATGGCAACATTTCATTCTTTGTGTGTTATTAGTTTAAGCAGACTGTGATTGTCTATTGTTGTGACTTAGATGATGATGATCAGATCACATTTTATGACCAGAAATGTGCAGAAATCCATATCATTCCAAAGGGTTCACATACTTTTTCTTGCAACTGTGTGTGTGTGTGTGTGTGTATGTATGTGTGTGTATGTGTGTATATATATATATATATATATATATATATATATATATATATATATATATATATATATATATATATATATATATATATATATATATATATGTAGAATGTACCTTGCACTCAGGCTTCAAACTTGCCACACCGCGTGCAATACCAAGGCTTAAATATCCAAATGGTAAAATAATATGGCTGCACTCACGGATTTCCAATAAAATGTAACTTATATTCCAGTTCTTTAAAACAGATCGACGTTTCAGTCCATCTTGTGGACTTTCATCAGGATCACAAGTACATTAAAAACATTTCATATATATAGGATGCAATAATTGTAATACTAGTAAACTAACTCACCCCAGGTGCTGTTCGTGAGGAAACCGGCGTTCATAAGCCCTGCCCATTTCAGTGACGTCACTATGTGACGCTAACGTCGTTTCCATGGTAACGCGGTATACTGAAAACGGCAATGTGTATCCATAATACGCTTCCACAACACCGTGTATGTATAAATAAGTGACAGCTCCTATAGAAGAGTACAAAAGCTGTCCAAGTGCTTATATCAGGACAAAAAGTGAAGTGCTATTGAAGAACACATCTTGACAGTTAATGTTAAGTACCCATATATGTGGTGCATAGTGCAACAGCAAATACAATTTAGCTCAGAATAGTAGTGCATTATAATATTATAAAGTGCCTATTTTAATAAGGTGATTTTCTCAAAGTGCCATGCTAATGTAAAGTGCCATTTAATTATAAAGTGCATGTCATATTTTAAAAGTGCTTATGTGATTTGTGCTAAAGTGACATAATAACTGCATATATTTAAGTGCAAAGAAAAACCTTAAAAAATACTAGCATGCAATTAATACGAACACTAAATATAGAGGGTTCTGCTAAGGTAGGAAGCTTAAAAATATATACATTTCTTCCTTATAAAGAAAATATATACATTTCTTCCTAATAAGTCATTATTTACAGGTGCTAATATATATGGTATGCCATACCTAAAATATAATTATTATGTAACAAAACCATTATCTACATTACGGTGTGTGTGTGTGTGTGTGTGTGTATATGTATATACATACACACAGCGACAAAATCCACTTCATGTGATCGTGTCATGGTGTAATTATTTTTTTCTTTTGGTTTTCCTATCCTTATGGCCCTGTATCTTAAAGATTATACCCGCTATTTGCATTTTATTTATAATTATTATTGTTTGCGCTGCGTCTCGGTATCTGGGTGCCGCCATTTTGTTTTACCATAGGCCCTGGTGTCCTTCTATGGGATTATTTATTTACTGAAGGATTGTGGGAAAATTTGATTGGGAACTAAAACACAACTTTGCTTTAAGCTCCGTTCATTGTCTGTATGGCTGCTATACATTAGGAAAAGCAGTCCATACATTTTAGTTATGTATTTTATGAAAGCTTCTAGAGATTAGATAAGATTTCTTTTTGGTGACATAGCTGTGTTAAAGTGACCAATAACACAAGGTAACAATTGAAAACAACCTCAAGTGTTTGTATAGCAAGGGATGAGTGATGCCTTCAGTGTCTTTCCTATGCTTATAAACACAGAATCAAAAAAGAGAGATCAACACTTTATCCTAATGATATAAAAGAGATCATGTAATGATATACACTTGTGTGATAATGTGCCTAAATAAGAAAGGCTAAAGCTTTGCATTGGTATCTGTTCCATGGTGACGACCCCTAATTCTCCCTATATTCCATTGGGGTTATCCACTCTATGGTATAAATATTATCCAATACAATTTATTTTCTGGGGAAAAATGCTTTCTATTTAGCATTACATGTTCATGCTTTCTATTTAGCATTACATTTTCTGGGGCACGTTTCAGAGCATGTTGCTGTTTCTATAATCTCTATACGTATTCAGTTTTCTAGAGTTCCCTGTTGAATGGATCAGCATTGTTAATTTGTTAACGGAGGTAATTAAATGCTTTCTGGTTTGAGTTCAGCTTGCTGTGCTGGCTGTAATGTTGTTATAGTGCTGCTAGCATTGCATGCGTGGGGGGAGGGCTACCGTATGAGACTGAACATCATTAATTGATATGTCATTTTCAAGCAGATGTTAACGCTTGGGTTGCGAGTGTCTAGACTCTGACGTTGCGCTTTCTCCGAAGTTCTTAACTCTTAAGGACAGCGGGAGTTGTAGAAGTTCTGAACTAATACAAAACCTGGAATTTGCGCTATATGTCTGTTCAACCATAATTTACCACTTTCATATTAAGTGTAACCACACTTATTACATATCATTGTATACAAGCTTTTATTTTACATCAAATATTTACATATGAAACATAATTTAAAGGGACACTATAGTCACCTGAACAACTTTAGCTTAATGAAGCAGTTTTGGTGTATAGAACATGCCCCTGCAGCCTCACTGCTCAATCCTCTACCATTTAGGAGTTAAATCCCTTTGTTTATGAACCCTAGTCACACCTCCCTGCATGTGACTTGCACAGCCTTCCATAAACACTTCCTGTAAAGAGAGCCCTATTTAGTCTTTCTTTATTGCAAGTTCTGTTTAATTAAGATTTTCTTATCCCCTGCTATGTTAATAGCTTGCTAGACCCTGCAAGAGCCTCCTGTATGCGATTAAAGTTCAATTTAGAGATTGAGATACAATTATTTAAGGTAAATTACATCTGTTTGAAAGTTAAACCAGTTTTGTTTTCATGCAGGCTCTGTCACTCATAGCCAGGGGAGGTGTGGCTAGGGCTGCATAAACAGAAACAAAGTGATTTAACTCCTAAATGACAGCGAATAGAGCAGTGAAATTGCAGGGGAATGATCTATACACTAAAACTGCTTTATTTAGCTAAAGTAATTTAGGTGACTATAATGTTCCTTTAATATGAATGAAATCTAAAAAGTGTGAGAAATTCAGAAATGTTGTTTTCCAAGTTCCACATGACATTTTAATGGTTTATTTCATAATACCGTTAGCTTTTACTGAAATAAAACACACATATTTTTATGCTACGATGTCCCAAGAGTACAACGATGCCACCTATTTGCAGGCTTTCAATCAGCACCTACGTTCAGCATCTTCACGCCCTGCATGGAGGCGCTGAACGTTCCCCATAGAAATGCATTGCAGAGATTATCTCTATGAGGAGATGCTGGTTGTCGCAGCACAATGTTTTGCCACACATGCGCAGTAGAGTCCCAATGCTTTCCTATGGGAAAGCGTTGGATTGACTGAGATCATCAAGAGTGATGATCTCAGCCATAGAAGCAGGGCCAGCCACAGCAGGACCTGTGTGGAAGAAAAGGTGAGTAAAATCACATTTTTACTATAGTGTGAGGAATAAATGTTTGTATTCGTGATGCTATAGTGTTCTTTTAATTAAATGATTTTAGAAGCTCTATATGTACAGCCAATCAGAGTCATGTGAATGCGGTGTCACCTCGATCACATGACTTGATCGCCTGGATTGGCTACATGTCCTACCATCGCGATGGGAGAGGAAGGTAAGTATCTGAGCTGGGGGCAGGGCCAGATCGCTAGGGTGAGTTGTGCCGTCCTAATGGTGTTAAAGCCCTTTTGTAGGACTGCATAGCACGCCATAACATTGGGAAGGGCTTAAAGGTACTCTGTCAGCTCAAACTCATCTTTCTCGTATTGTTTCCTCTTTTCTTTATTTCTGATCTTTTTCTCTTTAAAACATCAGACAACATAGGGACTACTTTATCTTGTGAATTTTATCTACGCTTGACAATTGTGACAAGAGGGTGGAGCTTAAGGCAAGCTACACTTCCTATGTCAAGCTAACAAAGGGTGTAGCTTACCTATTACCAAGTGTAGGAAACATACATAAGTCAAAGTAGTCAGTACTTTGTCCTGTTTTAAAGGGAAATAGATCTGAAATTATTAAATAAGAACAGGTTCTAAAATTAGGAAGTGAAGAGGAAACCATAGAAAAAAGGTACGTTAGAGATGGCAGAGCCACTTTACAGAGACTTGGTATAGTGTTAGTAAGCTGTAGCTGATGTATATATTTCGTATTGTAATTTATTTATTTTTAGTCAAACTGATTTTTAATCGGTTTAACTGATCTATGTGGATTCCCTGGACATACAGTCCTGTCCCCTAACTTGAGATATCATTATGAAGAAATCTTACTACTGAATTGCACAGTATGAAATACATATTAGCTACTGATATAGCAACCAGGATAAGATAAAAAACAATACAGGTAAAATGTGGCCTACATTCACACAACAACATCTGTGAGAAACATTTCAGTGATTTAAAGTAGTCATGGTGCCTGGAGTCTGTATGTGCAGCATTTTGCTTTGAAATGCTGCACATACGGAAATTAATCTCCCTGCTGCTGGAGGTTTGACTCCACCTCCGGCAGCATCACTGTGATGTCACTAGCCAGCTCAGAACTGGAGTTCCAGGCTGGGTAATGTCAATTCTGTGCATGTTCGAATGCACAGAATTGATTGCCAACAGGATCAGCAATAAACACATCGCGACCATCCTTAACCCCTTAAGGACACGACATGTGTGACATGTCATGATTCCCTTTTATTCCAGAATTTTGGTCCTTAAGGGGTTAAAGGAGATCACGTGCCCAGTAGGACCAGGTAAGAGGGCAAATTGCTGAAAAACAATTTATTCCATTACTTGGAAATAGGGCTGGGACGCTGGGGCACTTTAAAGCTAAAATAGTCTATAACTCAGTTTTAGAGTTGTTCCAAATCCGCTATTGTTTCCTGCCTTGCTATTTGGTTTTTCAGTTCTCTAGAATTTGATATTTAGTGAATA